GAGACACTGATTTTCTGTAAGGCGTTGTATGACATACTCACAATTTAGGTTGAAATTAACATGTTTTCCACAACATTCAGAGGCTAGAGAATAATCAACCGTCCTTCAATTTTCAATTTCAGGTCTGTAGACTTCAGGTGTTAAAATGCATGCAAAAAGTGAGTAAGTTCATTGTGCACAAAGTGCACGTACCACGCGATACGTGGCATCAAGTTTCATGCAAAGTATATTGGTACATGTTTATTTAGGGTTATTTTATAACTTTAAAAAAATCTTTTATGCAATGTCTCTGTATTTACTTTTTTCTGTGTACATATAATCCCCATTATTACACATATAATCCCCATTATTACACATATAATTCCCATTATTACACATATAATTCACATTATCACTTATCATCCCCAAAATACATGTATAATGACAAATTGTTATACTTAATATCCCAAATATTAAACATATAATTCCCATTATTGCACATATAATCCCCATTATTAAATATATAATCACCATAATTATACAATCGCCATTTGCATGTTTTCATGTATGTGCAAGCTATGGATCATGTACTGAGAGTATCCCCATATGTTGTAGCATGTTTGGAGCCTGACATGTAGCAACAGCAGCAAACACAGGTACACGGGTGTCTCACACATGGTCTCACCAGGGTGTTCATAAAGTCTCAGGTTCAAAGTATGGACACAAGTTTAAGAATGGGACAAGTTGGTGCTTGTTACAGAGAGATTCCCTTCAATGCCTCTATGTACCATAAAGTGAAACATTAAGTTTGATAAGGGCACTGACTTACAAACAGTTTCCATTGTACATGTGTATAGAGTTCTTGATTTAAGTTTGATGTTGGATGAAAATTGTTTCAAATCATGCATGAAATGTTTCCTGTGTTATGGCATCATACCTTTAGGTCATGTATGATTCAGCTCTCAAACCAAAACAACAGTACAGCCAACAACACAAGCGCTGTGCAAAGGAAACTGGCTTCAAATGTGCTTTTTGTTAGAGGTAAACTGAAGAAGAAGCTTGAGTGTTTCCCTTTAGGGTGGGTTACAAAATACTAATCATCAGCTTGATTAGATTACTACTGAGTGTTTATCTGTAAAGCCAAGATAACAATATAAATAAGCCCCAGTCCCATGAAACCAAGCACTCTCACTGAGTTCCTTGCTGCCAACTAGTGTCAAATCATTCACTGCATTTGTCATCAATTTCAATTCGACGAGACAAGAGCAACACAAGTCATTAACTTTCATTGAGAAAATATCCCGTGAAGTGAAAAACTGTTGCCATTTGCATGTTTATCCTCCACATGCTGTCATTGGAGCCCAACAGAGAACCAATGACAACTTACTAAGTTACAGTTGCAAACCAATATGTGGAGCACATCAAAAGGCCTGTCTGTTCTTTTTCTCATTAAATGTTCCTGTTTACAAAGTAGAGAAAAGTTTGATGAGGAGGGTGTGGTCAGTCTTGCAGAATAAGGCAAGCAGAACCCGGGCCAGCTCATTGGTCACAGACTATTGTTTACAAACAACGCTCCGGAACAGTTGAAGTTTATGGGTGTAGATAGCCCTGCAAGTTTTCCATCTGACAAAATAAACTTACCAGACTTCTCAGTTTCCTGCAGTAACCAAACTAAACTAATCCCATTTCCATTCATACACGTTTAAGAGTAGTCATTTAATACATCCAGTCTTTCAACAAGGGTTTTGTTGACACTGGCAATTATGGTATCCGCCGCAGTGTGTAATATAGAATGGTAAATTTGTTCTATAAAAACCTAAATATGATCTTCAAAACAGTCTGTATACATAAAACACGAATGTATCACAAAAGAACCAGAATTCAACATTTTCAGAAGTCAGGGTTATGCTTCAAAACTTTTTTGAATTATTATCCATTGTCTCCATTATAGAACTTCCCCAAATGAGTATTCAGCTAAGCAGACTGTAGTCGAGACACACAAATTACCAATGAGCCATATACATTTCTGCACTGATCCTCTGTATGTGAATGTGGTCCTTACCGAGGATGATACATATACTATGAGTAGTTCACTGGGTACGAGGAGAGCATGGGTTGATGAACCCTCTATGTTTGTTTATGTAAACAAATATAGTGGGTACAATAAACCCCTGCGTGCGGGGGGATGGGTGGGTGGGGGTGAGTGGGGTGTCAGTGAACAACATATTTATCTTACTGAACCACTCAATGTTAAAGGCACAATGTCACACATTTTCGACAATATTTAGGTGGGGAGTACATAGCTTCACACACAGGATACATGATCTACAATGTGTGTGAGTGTGTGCCCGGACCTTAGAGGTGTGTAGTACATAGCTTCAGACACAGGATATATGATCTACAAGGTGTGTGAGTGTGTACCCGGATCTTAGAGGTGTGTAGTACATAGCTTCACACACAGGATACATGATCTACAATGTGTGTGAGTGTGTACCTGGACCCTAGAGGTGGGTAGTACAAAGCTTCACACACAGGATACATGATCTACAATGTGTGTGAGTGTGTACCTGGACCCTAGAGGTGGGTAGTACATAGCTTCACACACAGGATACATGATCTACAATGTGTGTGAGTGTGTACCTGGACCCTAGAGGTGGGTAGTACATAGCTTCACACACAGGATACATGATCTACAATGTGTGTGAGTGTACCTGGACCCTAGATGTGGGTAGTGCATAGCTTCACACACAGGATTAATGATCTACAATGTGTGTGAGTGTGTACCTGGACCCTAGAGGTGTGTAGTACATAGCTTCAAACACAGGATATATGATCTACAATGTGTGTGAGTGTACCTGGACCCTAGAGGTGGGTAGTACATAGCTTCACACACAGGATATATGATCTACAATGTGTGTGAGTGTACCTGGACCCTAGAGGTGTGTAGTACATAGCTTCAAACACAGGATATATGATCTACAATGTGTGTGAGTGTACCTGGACCCTAGAGGTGTGTAGTACATAGCTTCAAACACAGGATATATGATCTACAATGTGTGTGAGTGTACCTGGACCCTAGAGGTGGGTAGTACATAGCTTCACACACAGGATACATGATCTACAATATGTGTGAGTGTGTACCTGGACCCTAGAGGTGGGTAGTACATAGCTTCACACACAGGATACATGATCTACAATGTGTGTGAGTGTGTACCTGGGCCCTAGAGGTGGGTAGTACATAGCTTCAAACACAGGATACATGATCTACAATGTGTGTGAGTGTGTACCTGGACCCTAGAGGTGTGTTGTACATAGCTTCACACACATCACACCACGTACCCTGAGAGGCCAAATGCAATACTAGATTTACTTTTTCCCCAAAAGTGGATGGTCGGACCCATGTCCACATCATACGTTAAACGATGGTACATATTGCCCTGTCTGGTGTCTGGCATTACGTGCATAAAGGAACTGACTGTCTCAGAAACAGTATACCCGGGGTACTGTGTCTTGTCAGGATAGTGGGTGCTGAGTAGGGAGGGGGAAACACTGTCCATGCTATGTATTGCTGATAGGGGATGCTGAGTAGGGAGGGGGAAACACTGTCCATATTATGTATTGCTGATAGGGGATGCTGAGTAGGGAGGGGGAAACACTGTCCATGCTACGTATTGCTGATAGTGGGTGCTGAGTAGGGAGGGGAAACACTGTCCATGCATGTATTGCTGTATTAGGGAGGAAACACAGTCCATGCTGATAGGGGATGCTGAGTAGGGCTGAGTGGGGGAAACACTGTCCATGCTATGTATTGCTGATAGGGGATGCTGAGTAGGGAGGGGAAACACAGTCCATGCTATGTATTGCTGATAGGGATGCTGAGTAGGGAGGGGAAACACAGTCCATGCTATGTATTGTGATAGGGGATGCTGAGTAGGGAGGAAACACTGTCCATGCTATGTAGCTGATAGGGGGATGCTGAGTATGCTGGGGGAAACACAGTCCATGCTATGTATTGCTGATAGGGGATGCTGAGTAGGGAGGGGAAACACAGTCCATGCTATGTATTGCTGATAGGGATGCTGAGTAGGGAGGGGAAACACAGTCCATGCTATGTATTGCTGATAGGGGATGCTGAGTAGGAGGGGAAACACAGTCCATGCTATGTATTGCTGATAGGGGATGCTGAGTAGGGAGGGGGAAACACTGTCCATGCTATGTATTGCTGATAGGGGATGCTGAGTAGGGAGGGGGAAACACTGTCCATGCTATGTATTGCTGATAGGGGATGCTGAGTAGGAGGGGAAACACAGTCCATGCTACGTATTGCTGATAGTGGATGCTGAGTAGGGAGGGGAAACACTGTCCATGCTACGTATTGCTGATAGGGGATGCTGAGTAGGGAGGGGAACACTGTCCATCCATGTATTGCTGATAGGGGATGCTGAGTAGGGAGGGGGAACACTGTCCATGCTCCGTATTGCTGATAGGGGATGCTGAGGAGGGAGGGGGAAACACTGTCCATGCTACATATTGCTGATAGGGGATGCTGAGTAGGGAGGGGGAAACACTGTTTAAATATGTCAAACACAGTCTGACATATGAACTTGCCATGGTCACTCAAAAGATGTTTCTTTTAAAATATACCAAACTGTCAAAAAGCATTAGTTTACCACTACATCTATGTACTAAGTTTGGTGAAGAACTATTGGTTTTCGAGATCTACTCCAGCAACAAGCAGTTCTCACACTTTTGGTCTGCCAGTAAGTAAATGATGCTGTCAATGAAACTTAATTTCTTAATCCAAACTTACAAAAGTCACCAGTTCCCCCTAGACATGACTATGTGCCAAGTTTGGTAAAGAAATATTGTACAGTTTTCAGCTCCTGAAACGGCATCTGATGGACAGATGCATTGACTGATGGACAGATGCATTGACTGACAGTGTCCATTTTAACAACAACAATGTGTTGTCGGGGATTAAAAACTTAAACAACATCGGAGCTGAGTGGTATTTTCCCTACCCGGACTGTAGGATCTTCTCGATGTCTGCCAGATCTTTGCGTATAACAGCACGGTGAAGATGTTCTCCCGTCAGTGGCTCCTCTGGAAAAATACCATCAATAACATGTATGCCAGGAATGTACAAGCATCAGCATGTTTCCACTAACAAGTCAGAAGCCTACACTCCTCACCACAACAATACACTAGGAATCAAGACACAGCTGTCTTGGTCAAACTGGGAGGCTTAAGGTTAGGAGTGTAACTGATACTTTCAATGTTTCAGAAATGGAGACAAACATACTGTGTTTTCTATGTTATTCAGCTTGATCAATGTAATATAAGAACCTCATGCTGCAAACGTTTTCAGTTAAGTATGGTTAAATCTACAGGTAATCTAGCTCTACACTTACACTCTGAGCAAAATCAGCTCATCTTACACAAATTGACAGAACCATCTACCTTTGTGAGGATTAAGAGCTTGGTTAGTTGTTTTTTTATACCACTGTCAAAAAGTCGAACATACACGTGCTGGAACATTATTACATTTAGAACAAGAACAGTGTGCCAAATTTACGCTGGTCCTGTGGTCCCTGGCTGGTAAAAATTCATCAGGACTACTAAATGATAAGTTTGCAGTGGCATGCTTTACAAGATGAAGTCTGTCAAGGAATATTACTTGTGGTGGACACTGCTGTGTGTGCACTCCATTCACTGGTGTCTTCGTCATGCTGGAAGCGGATGCGGTATGTGTAGGTGGTCTGCGCGTCCAGCCCGGTCACTGAGTGTCTCTTGGCATACCCTCTGCAACACAAGCAGGCAACATAAAACCATTCTTTTATGTTATCATATGTTTCAAATTGTTTGAACTCTGATCAACACTGATGCATATGTGGAGTTGTTTAATCTCTAACCATCTTCCCACAGCTAGGGAGACTTAACTTACTATAAACGTTTCCATCCATGCCAAAATATACTGGAGTTTATTACTTATATTTAGACTGTACTGACTAATCTTGGCATAATCCAATAAAAAAATAGCACAACAAGATCATCATCTGGTTCTAAAAATACATGACAACTGCTGTGCAGATTAGAGTTAATTGCAGGTTTTACAAAGCATGAGGACTCTCAACTGGATGTCAACTGATTAGTGTTGGGAATTGGTTAAAATCTCATAATTGATGATTGGTTAGCGTAATTTATGAAATTTGTTAATGCACATTAAAAAGGGGGAATAAAATGTAGTTGTTCTGGGGGTTTTTGGCAAAATTTCACATCTTTAAAGGATGACTAGTATGTTAGGAACATAACTTTCTTGGAATCTTTAAGATAAATTCAATCATGACTTGAAACGAGCTTGTAGTGCTTACGAAATGTAACAGACAAAACCAACCATGTGAAAAATATTGTTAATGAAACAAGTGTTCCAGAATTGTTATTGCTGTTCGATTATGAGAAATTATGATCGATTGCTTGGTCGTTTAGTCATTACGACCAATCTTCGATTATTTCAATTAATCGGACCACCACTACAACAGATATATTTTCAATTCTTGTTATTTTTTTAAAATCACTTTGATAATAATACACGTTTTTTCCCCAATTTACTGCTTGATTAGTGAATGGAATCATCTTGACTGGTGCCACCATGTTGTTTGAAACAAATGCCAGTGTTATCATCTGTGGTGAAATATGATTGGTCAATAGGAGCGACATAGAATGGGTTTTCACTTTTCATAGTCATTACGAGCACTACCATCAGGCCACACATTCCAGTTCGGTGACATATAGGGGAAACTCAGCTTTTAAAGTCGGTTAACTCCCTTGCCTCAGAAAGATGGGTCTCCCTGACCCACTATTTCCAGTGGCATAGGAAGAGGCCTCCCTACCGAGTGTTGTACCTTCATGGATAGGTTTGTGTTGTGACCTGATCAACAACATGTCAACACACCAACACTAGTGAACACAAACTGATATTTCACACTATCCTCAAATTTCTAAACATAATGAATGTTTATCAGCAAAACATGTTTTCCACATGACAGTTATTTCTCAGCTTCAAAACTAGTCTTACCAAAGACGTGTTGTGAATAAATAAAAGAGGCTTTTCCTTGAAAATCTAACACATACGAGGGTCGTGTGAGTATGCCAGACCATGACCTGAATATGTGAATTTATGTACCGAGGAGACCAAACTTATGCCAAATATATTGCCTTGGCATGACACTTTGTACATGATTTAAATATATATAATTCAATAAAGGAATAGGGACTGGTGAACAATCTGTTACAGCTAATATCAACAATGCTCCCATACAACTTATAATAATACAAACAGTAGTGTCAGAACATTATTAATATTATTATATCAGGTAACATGTCAAACAGAAACACAAAGTGTCATGTGTAGTTTTATCTAAACCTTTCAAATGAACACATAGACATGTAATCGGTCTGCACCAGTTAGGTGAGTCTGAAGAGACAATGGAATACAGGAAGATGTCCAGTTTAACTTGTGATATGTTTTCTTGAAGATATTCAGTTTACTTTGTTACACTGGATATGCACACTAGTTAATACTTGTAATAAAGTCATTAACTGATCATCAAGTGAATCACAACAAATACACAAGTGTAAGACTAGTATCATAAAACATGGCTGACAAGAAGGGAGAAGTTGTTGTTTGTATTACATGAAATTAGCCTGAAACAGTAAGGGTTGTTACTGTTTGAGTACATAAATTGAACTGAAATTACATTTTCACATACTTGTTGTATACTTAAGTACATAATTGTACATACATGTTTCCACACACATACAAGTTTGTAAGGAGAAAGGTTTTGGTAAGCATTATCCAATCAAATATGAGAATTCAAGAGGTCCTCCCCAGCTGTTCCATAATGGCGCTGCCAAGATGACTAAACGTTTTGAGGTTAGCTACCACTCCTGAGCCTAATGGGGTGTTTGGTCTCGATCAGACAAGAAGCATCTGCAGTTACATCTTCTATAATGTCATACAGAGAAGTATCATCAGCAAGGAAATGAATATTACTGTCAATATCACACACAATGTCATTGATATAAATACGAAATAGTAGTGGCCTGAATACCAGACCCTGAGGTATTCCAGCAAATACAGCTTTCTTGTTGAAACTAGTAATAATGTCCATTGTACTCAACTTTCTCAAAGTACCTTTCAAACCATTTCAACAGGTCACATTGAATAACATAAAGTTCTACTTTGTAAAAAATTTAAGGTCTCTGAATTTGTCTACATTCCTCAATGGCACGGACACAAGATGACATGACAGTATTTCCCCACTTTAGTGCAAAATTGTTTGGGTTGAAAAGTGAAATAATTCAATTTTACATGTATATATCTCCTGAAAATTAACAATATTGGAACAGTTATAAGGAAGGAAAAGATGTGTTAAGTGTTTCCTTAGAAACTGTAACATGAATACCTAAAACCTAAATTAGTTTTGCTTGGATACTTTAATGCAGGAGTTTACACACATAACAACAACATTAGATATAATTCTGGTGATCAAATTATTGATAATTTTAGTATCGTAAGATCCTGAAAACTCATAAGAAATATGGTTAAAACTGGCACTCCTCTGTTGTAGTTAGGCCAGTGGCACACTGAATGGCGGGGTGTTCAGTGAACTGCTGGTCAGGTTGTGTTACAATGAGCAATGTGTAGTTGATCACATTACTGCTAGCTCTACGCTGTGTACTTCATTGACTGTTCATGATCCACTGAAGAATCATTTCCCATCATAATAATGATAATTACATTTCTACAATGATTCAAGTAAACCATGACTGTAAAGACAGCATCAGTGGAATGTTCAGTCTGCCAACAACTTTCAGAACATACTTTCATAAGGTATGAGTGAAGTGGATGTAACTATAATCCGATTACTGACAGTATTGGAACAGTCTGCTGTTACCTAACATTAAGGCTGGAGGATTTTCAAATTCTTTTCACTACTGAGAAACACAATGAATCTGTGGTATACATGTTGAGGATCTAGCTTTATCTGATACAAAAACATGTGATGATGTTCACAGTTCATTGATGAAGTCCCAATGAGTTTGCACAGTTAAAGTAATAATAATAAATTTCAAGGCCCTAATGGTATTGTAAATGAGTTTATACACCTATTTCGAAAAATATGTTCTTCCACTGTCTTTTCAGACGAACGAGTATAATTTTCTCCCATTTAAGGGAGGTAATGAGGATGAAGTAGATAATAAGGGTGTAATGTGGATGAATCAGTGGAATATCTGTCTGACATGTCATGTACAGTATTGACTTCTAGAGAGACACCTCCAATCCAGTTGAATCTATTATACACTATCACCAGTGAAACACAAGCTGGTCTGACACCACGGTAGTCCACAAAGACTAAACGCTTACTCATCAAGCAGTTGTTTAGATACACATCTCAAAGACTAAAGGTAGATTTTACTACATCTTTATTCACTTTGTGAAGGCTTTTTTCACAAGGATCTAAGATTCTAAGTTTATCAATTTGGGGAAAAATGGAACATGCTACAAAAATAGCAGCATTCATGTGTGTGCATTAGGGATGGTCTTTCTGTTTTTTAATCTCACATTTCTAGATTAATCTCATGTTTCAATTTGCAAAATTGACATGTAACAATCTATGTATTTGAATTAACATATGTAACTGTGAAGCTATTGCACATGAATTACGTAATCCATCTTTCAACTACAGCGCTCAGCCATGGCTCAGTCACAGAGGACAACAGGTGGAAGTTGACTTCAATACTGACTTCAAATGCTGTGCCAGCACATAGAATTATATAAGATTACATAGAAATGAGACAAAAACATGTTCTGCCATATTTCAATGAGGTGTAAAATTGAAATACTATGATAAATGTAACAACAGTAGTTGTGAAGTTTCATTAATACTTAGGAGCACTTTTCACCACTCAAGCTGTTGTTGAGCCAAACTTTTCAACTCAAACAAGTCAGTGAGATTTAATGGCTACAATCAAACAATACCTATCATTCCAAAAAGTCATTAAAATATTGTTTAAAAGTGTTGTGTTATAAAACCTGAAATTTCATGAACATTGTACAGCAAATTAATTGAAAATGTCCAAATGTCCTTCTGTAAGAAGTATCTTTGTCTTGCTAACAATATACCTATAACAATGGTATTCTGTATGGCATGTTGTCTATATGGCAACAATGAAATATGGCTGCAGACTCTTCTTCTTTACTCTCACTGATTACCTTGTCAAGCAGTCTTCATGTTAAAATCACTTGACAAGGTGTTCAATGTGGAGCTACATCATCGGCTTGAGGTGTCAGGATCGAGCCCACCTGTGACCGGGTGTAAAAACCTTGGAGTCAACTTTGTGTGCAGACTTTTTCGTTGTTGTCACAACCCCTAGTGTACAGTACACAACCCTGTGCACTTAAACGAACCCACAAATCCGTTGGTAAATGACCAGATGGTGGCCACATGAATACATGCAAACACCTAGTTGCTGGTACAGCAATGTGCAGTAAATTTGGACAAAGTAGTGTGACTATGTGTCCCAGTCCACCCAGCTGTGTGAATGGGTACCTTGTAAGGATGGAAAAGCCGCAATAACTTGGTGCGCCTAGTGGCTGCAAGAGTTGTATGATCCCCAGGGAGTTGAGATTGATAATAAGATGTGCTGTTGAGACTGACATCCAGTGATCGAGGGAAACAATACCAGTGCCTTGAGCATGCACTACTGGCGAACAAGGCTAAGTTGAGCACCAACCTGAC